CGACCCCAGCGCCCCGCCGCAGCCCCCTGCCTGGCCCAGGCATCCCCCTCCCACGGGGACTCCGTCTCTATTTTGGGGGAAGGGGAGGTTCAGCGGAAGCCCCGAGTTATAATTAGCCCCACTCGGGTTTCCTAGATAATCTCAGCCCCGCCACCACCCCAGCTCAGGGCGGCGGGGGCTGGGTGCGGGGTGACCGCCGCGAGAAGGGGGGAGTTCCGACCCGGGGAATTTTGATCCCTTGGCTGGAGATGCCGGAACCACAGCAGCTGCGGCCCCAAAATAGCGCCCCCGCCCTCTGCAGCGGGGGATCTCCGGAGCTCGGAGAACACAGGCGTCCCGGTTCGCCCTTCAGACCCCTCCGCAATGCCCTCCAGCCCCCAGACCCCCGCCCCAAGTTTTCTGCTCCTTTGCTTGGGGCGGGGAGCGCCGTTATTTTATCGGTTTCTACTGCCCCCCGCTGGCGGCAGTGTGCACAGCATCATCAGACGAATGAGGGACGAGTCCTGGGGTCCAAGGCTGGCGAACCCGTTCGCGGAGGCTAGGCGACAGGGGTGCGCAACTGATGGGCACCCACGGGTACCAGCACGCTGTGCCAGACAGTGGACGAGGCGGGCTGGGCGGGGCAGGGTGTGGGGTAGGCAGGATTTGGGGTGCCCCAGGACCTGCGGCTCCCACACCCTGAATGCCCAACCCACCCTGGCCAACGCAGGAGAGGCTGTGCCTTCACGCCACCGCACGCGCCCCCATTGGCACCTCCCATCATCGAGGGCTCCACCCCTGTCGGGTAGCCTCTGCGTGGACTGCAGCCTCTGGTGCGGGTGCCCACAAGGCTCACACTGGGCCCAATCCAGCCCACCCAGCGGGGGGAAGGAGGTGAGGGCGGTGGGTGCTCTGTGGGTCAGGGAGGGTATGCTTGGCAGGTCTCATCCGTTCCTTACATCTGTCTGTCTGGGTGCGTATGGGCCTGATCTCTGTCCCCTCCGGCTTCTCACTGTCTGCCTGTGTCCTTGTCTCTGCTTGTCTGTCTCCTTCCCTCCATTTCTGTCCTCCTCTTTGCCAACCTGCCCCACCTCCTCTGCAGCTTAGCGATAACCCCTGGGCAAGAGTGTTATCTAATCCCCTCCTGGCAGCCTCAGGCCTTCACCCTCTGCCTTTCTTTCTCCTAACAGCCGCCTGCCTGCCTTGGCAGCCATCTGCCTGCCTTGGCAGCCATGAGGCCCCCATGGTGTCCCCTGCATACTCTCTTCCCACCGTTCCCACTTCTCCTCCTCCTCCTCCTCCTCCTCTTCCTCCTGGGAGGAGGGGCAGAGGCTGAGCACCCAGAGGACCCGGAGCTGCTGGTGATGGTGCGTGGGGGCCGGCTTCGGGGCACCCGCCTAATGGCCCCTGGGGGCCCTGTCTCTGCTTTTCTGGGCATCCCCTTCGCAGAGCCACCTGTAGGCCCCCGTCGCTTTCTGCCACCGGAGCCCAAGCGACCCTGGCCAGGGGTGCTAGATGCCACAGCCTTCCAAAGTGTCTGCTACCAATACGTGGACACCTTGTACCCTGGCTTTGAGGGCACCGAGATGTGGAACCCAAACCGTGAGCTGAGTGAGGACTGCCTCTACCTCAACGTGTGGACACCGTACCCTCGGCCTAAGACCCCCACCCCTGTCCTCGTCTGGATCTATGGGGGTGGCTTCTACAGTGGGGCCTCCTCGCTGGACGTGTATGATGGCCGCTTCCTGGCCCAGGCAGAGGGGACTGTGCTGGTATCCATGAACTACCGGGTGGGAGCCTTTGGCTTCCTGGCCCTACCAGGGAGCCGGGAGGCACCAGGCAATGTGGGTCTTCTGGATCAGAGGCTGGCCCTGCGATGGGTGCGGGAGAATGTGGCAGCCTTCGGGGGGGACCCGATGTCAGTGACTCTGTTTGGGGAAAGTGCAGGTGCCGCCTCTGTGGGCATGCACCTCCTGTCCCCACACAGCCGGGACCTGTTCCACAGGGCTGTGCTGCAAAGCGGTGCACCCAACGGGCCCTGGGCTACGGTGAGCATGGGAGAGGCCCGCCGCAGGGCCACACTGCTGGCTCGACTCATAGGCTGTCCCCCAGGTGGGGCTGGTAGCAATGACACAGAGTTGGTCGCCTGCCTGCGAACACGGCCAGCTCAGGACCTGGTGGACCACGAGTGGCATGTGCTGCCTCAGGAAAGTGTCTTCCGCTTCTCTTTTGTGCCTGTGGTAGATGGAGACTTCCTCAGTGACACCCCGGAGGCCCTCATCAACGCTGGAGATTTCCACGGCCTGCAGGTGACTAGTGGCTGGAGGGGGTAGAGCTGGTTCCTCTATGCCTGTTCTCCCACTTACCCACCCTACCCCTGGGGACCCAGGCTTGAGGGCTCCTCAAGACCCACTTGCAAAGGCTTCTCTTCCCTGAGGGCTCAATCCCAGGGTGGCCAGTGGGACAGAGAGGAAAGAAAATGTGGGTATATTTTCTCCTCTCCGTCCCCCAATCTCATACTCTCTTCCTCCATGGTTCTGGGTCTGGAACTGTCCATCTCTCTGACTCTTTGTCCATCTGTTTCTGTCTGCCTGTCTGTCTGTGTCTGCCTCCACCCCCACCCCATTCCTTCATCCTGTTCCCCCAGGTGCTGGTGGGTGTGGTGAAGGATGAGGGCTCCTATTTTCTGGTTTACGGGGCCCCAGGCTTCAGCAAAGACAACGAGTCTCTCATCAGCCGGGCCCAGTTCCTGGCCGGGGTGCGGGTCGGGGTCCCCCAGGTGAGTGACCTGGCTGCCGAGGCTGTGGTCCTGCATTATACAGACTGGCTGCACCCTGAGGACCCAGCACGCCTGAGGGAGGCCATGAGTGATGTGGTGGGTGACCACAATGTCGTGTGCCCTGTGGTTCAACTGGCTGGGCGACTGGCCGCCCAGGGTGCTCAGGTCTATGCCTACATCTTTGATCATCGTGCATCTACGCTCTCCTGGCCCCCCTGGATGGGGGTGCCCCACGGCTACGAGATCGAGTTCATCTTTGGGCTCCCTCTGGAACCCTCGCTAAACTACACCATTGAGGAGAGAGCCTTTGCCCAGCGACTGATGAAATACTGGGCCAACTTCGCCCGCACAGGGTTAGCAGTGCCAAAGGGCGGATGGCCTCCGGGAGCCAGGGAGGCTGGGAGGACAAAGAGAAAGGGGGAGGAAGACAAGCAGAGACAGAGAGGAAGGGCCAGAAAGAGAGGGGAGAGCTCACAAAGGAAAGGAGACAAAGGGGGAGAGAATGACAAAGGAGAATGGGAGAGAAAGGAAGGAGAAAGTGGGGTGGCAGATCCTGAAGAATCAAGGACAGTAATGGAGGGAGGCAAAGAGAAGAGATGGACAAGGAGAGACAGAATTACAACAGCAGTTAGGAGCGTGAACTGTAAAGCTGGATCAATTAGAGCAGTGGTGATTTTATTATCTGGCACGCACAGGCACACACATACACACACACACACACACACACACACACACACACACATACAGTTTACCTGTCTGAAGAAGGGGACAATAAATCCAGTGTCACATGGGTGTTGTCAAAAGTAAATGTGATGTTTGTAGAGATAGAACTGGGCCTGGTTACATAACAAGAGCTCAATAAATCACCAATTTTTTAAATGAGAGAAACAAAGACAACGATGGGGCAGGAAAATGGAAGGAAATGGAGAGGAGAGACAGAAAGAGGGCAGACTCCAGATGATGAGGGATACTGGAGAAGAGAAAGAAGGGTTAAAGCAGCAGTGGGAGGGAAGGGATGGGGCTCCCCTTGGAGCTAAGAGGGCATGGGGTCTGGAAGCACCTGCCTCCTCCTCTTCATCTCCATCCCCCAACCTCAGGGCGGGGCAGGCTTGACTGAGACTGAGCCTTCCCTTTTTTTACACAGGGACCCCAATGACCCCCGGGACCCTAAAGCCCCGCAGTGGCCACAGTACACGGGGGTATCGCAGCAGTACGTGAGCCTAAACCTGCGGCCTCTGGAGGTGCGGCGGGGGCTGCGAGCCCAGGCCTGCGCCTTTTGGAATGGCTTCCTACCCAAATTGCTCAGCGCCACCGGTATGTAGGGCCAGCGGGTAGGGGCTGGGCCCAGGGGCTAGGCCCAGGGGCTAGAAATGGGGCGTGGAGAGAGAGAGGGGAGTGGAAGCCGGCGGGGTGTAACCCCTCTCTTCTCCCCACCAGCCTCGAAGGCTCCCAGCACCTGCCCAGGCCCCGCCCACGGGGAGGCTGCCCCGAGGCCCAGGCCCGGCCTCCCCCTGCCCCTCCTTCTCCTCTTCCTCCTCCTCTCCCGGCTCCAGCGGCTGTGACCACGGCCTCTTCCCCTCCGGCCTCTGGGGGCCCCTCTTCTAATGAGTGGTCGGGCCGGGGGGAGGGCCCCACTCAGGGATCTCCGACCCAGCGCCCCTCCCCCTCAAACCGAGAAGCTCACACTGGACAGGGCGTGGGGGAGGGTTGACCTACGATCCGGCTCAGGGACTCACACGCCTTTGTTGTTTAAATGGAAAAGTCCATTTTCTTTTTTTATAAAATTATTCCTTGGAGCCTGAGACGTGTTGGGGGGAGAGGGGAGACTCGGGGCTAGCTAGCAACTCCCGGTGGGGCTATAACCGTCAACCGTTTCTGTCTCTTCTCTTTTTCCCATTAACCCACGGATGCTCCCCGCCCCTGATCCCTTCTGTCCCTTGTCTTCCGGTCATTTTCTCCCCATCTCTCCTCCCTCCCGCCAATCCTTCTCTGGCCCCACCTCCACCCTCATCCTCCCGGTCTCTCGTGTTTCTCATATCCACCTGATCCTCTTTCCACCATCCCACGTGCCGCTCCTTGTGTCCTCCTGCACTCACAACCCCCACCCGACCTCCTCCACGTCCTCCTCCCACCCACTTGTCGGGCGCCCTGGCCGCAGACACGCTGGACGAGGCGGAGCGCCAGTGGAAGGCCGAGTTCCACCGCTGGAGCTCCTACATGGTGCACTGGAAGAACCAGTTTGACCATTACAGCAAGCAGGACCGCTGCTCAGACCTGTGACCCAGGCGGGACCCCCACATTCTGCCGCCCTATCCGCCCCCCCCCGGTCCCCAAGTTGTATATACTATTTATCTAAGGGCTGGGATATTACAGAGGAGCCCTAGACCCACCCCAACTTTCCCCCGGGGCTCCTGGTCCTCTGCATGTCTCGGCCGAGCCCCCGACCCCGCGGTGCCTTCGCCCCTCTGGGCTGCCAATAAACTGTTACAGCCAAAGGTGTGTGCGCGACTGGGGCCGGTAGGGCAGAACGCCTAGCCAATTGGGCTCAGGGAATGGGGGTGGTCGCTGGGACCTACATTCTGGCCCACTCAGCGCTGGGACACAAGGCGCCACCCCGCAAGGAGAACTCGCGTCTGCGCAGTCAGAAGGGAGGTGCGGTGGGGCGGGGCAGCGGGGCATTGTGGGAACCCTACAGGCCACCAGGTCCTCAGGGCCCAGCGGTGCGACCTCCACTGATTCGTGCTGCCCGTGCTGCCCGGCGCTATTGTTGCCAGAACCTGCGCTCCGGTCCTGCTCGCAGCTCGCCTAAGACCCAACCTGCGCGCCGGTCCTGCCCGCAGCTCGCCCAAGACCCGGGCCGGCCGAGAGTAAGTGCTAGACCCTGAATTCTCCCCGGAGTTCGCTCCACGCCGCCAGACGCTACTTCCGCCCTAACTCGGCTGCTCCGCTCCTGCCCACCGCCCTGGAGCCACTGAAGGACGTACACCTGGGCCTTGCGCCACCCACCCGCGACCCCGCTCGCCTGGCCGTCCTCTCGGGCCACTACCTCTACTATCACTATGGCTGCGACGGCCTGGACGACCGGGGCTGGGGCTGCGGATACCGAACTCTGCAGACGCTGTGCTCGTGGCCACATGGCCGGCCCGTGGGTGTTCCCGGATTGATGGACGTGCAGGCCGCATTGGAGGACATGGGTGACAAGCCCCCTGGGTTCCGCGGCTCCAGGGACTGGATCGGCTGTGTAGAGGCCAGCCTCTGCCTCGAGTACTTCGGAGGACCCCAGGGGCGCCTATGCCACGTTCCCCGTGGAGCTGGGCTTCAGGGGGAGCTGGAGAGACTTTACTCCCACTTCGCAGGGGGCGGAGGGCCTGTAATGGTTGGGGGGGATGCGGATGCCCAGTCTAAGGCCTTGCTGGGAGTCTGTCTGGGGCCAGGCACCAAAGCCTTCGTCCTGGTATTGGACCCTCACTGCTGGGCTGCTCCAAAAAACCCCACTGAACTACAGATTGCTGGGTGGGTGGGCTGGCGAGAGGTGAGCACAACATTTGACTCCAAGTCCTTCTACAACCTGTGTTTGACCAGCCATAACTCTGAAAAGCAGCTGCCGCCCCAGGACTGAGACGTTCCCAAAACAGGACTGTCTCCGGCCCCACACACTCTCAAGGGCAGAGGCTTAGAGACTGCAGGATGCCAGGCCCCCAGGAAGTCCCAGTAGAGCCTGGAAACTTTGGCATCAATAAAGTGACAAGGCCCAGCTTAACCATTGACCCAGCCAATGTTTGGGAGGATTTGGGGAGGTATATAATATACACTTGGTCAGGAATCACTGCGGAAGTGCTTTTATTGGCAGTAGGGCTGGACGTACAAAAAATTCTGAAGAGCTGGATGGGACAAGGCAGTCACAAGTATAGATGGTACTGAGAGTGAGGGAAAGTCGATGGCTCAAAAGAAATCCACATCATCTGGAGCATCCAGGTCACGGTATTCAACAATGGCCCGTGGATCTCCACGGGCCATCCTGTGAGATAAGAAAGAGGTAAAATGGGATGAGAGTTGAGGGTCCCAGTTTGAAGAGGGCAAGAAAACTTGGACATCTTAGCTCATTCTCACCTGTTTCGAGGTTTCCCAGGATAACCTCCCTGGCCTCGGAAGGCATCATAGTTCCCTCGGCCAGCACCATACGGGGCATGGGGATATGGAGGCCCTCCTGTGGGGACTGCAGGGCGGACAGCACCAGCTATGAAAAAGATCAGTGTTGAGTTGAAAACCTATGACCTCAACTATATCTTAGCTGCTTTCTCCCAACCCCTCACAACCACCAAGCCCTTTCAAGACCTTCCTATACTTACCTCCATACCCCAAAATAGGGGGCCGGGGCTGGCCATAGGGCATCAGGCTCTGGGGAGTCTGGTGTGGGTAGGGGAGTCCTGGAGTCAGGCCTGGGGGGAGTACAACACAGACAGGGACATGAATTACTGGGGAAGGAGGTCTGGGGGGAGACAGGACACAACTAGCTGTTAGGAATATGGCCAGAGGGGGAAAGGCAGAAACTTTTTCAGGGGACAACAGGATAAAGAACCAGGAGTCCTTGAAGAGTCAAGGGAGAGTGAATGTGGCAGACCCTCATGGATCGTATCTTACTCTGGGCAGGGCCAGGTGGCTGAGCTGGCTTGATCTCAGGCAGAGCTGGGCGCTTAGCATCAGTGAGAAAGTTGTTAAAAAATGCTACCTCCTTCTTCACTTCCTCAATTTTCTCCGAATGCTTATTGAAGATATGTTTGCGTACAAACTCAGGTCCCTGGATGCAGAGGAAAGAGTCAGAACTGAACAAGCAGTTCCCTAACTCCCCAGACCCCACAATAAATCACCCTTCCCTCCCACCTATCCCATAACTAATATCCCAGACCTTGAATTTCTTGCCACTGAGAGGGCATAGCCACTTATCCTTGCCCAGTTCCTGGGTGTTAGAGGTGACAAATTTTTCCACTTCCTGCTCAGGATCTTTGCGACCCATCTTCTGGGCCTCTTCCTCTGAAAGAGATTCCCGCACACTCAGCAGTGGAGTCAGCTTCTCCTCAAACGTCTTCTGCCACTCTACAACTGTGGTTTGGGAACAAAGGCAGACAGCAGGTTGAAAAGGAAGCCAGAGCAAGGAATAAGCAAGGAGGGGATTAGAGAAGAAGGTGACAGAGCACTGCTTCAGAGCAGAACTAAAACCAGCCAGGGAGAAAGGGGCACTAGAGGAGACTCAGGTGGGGAGCTCACCTTCTCCATGACTGATGCGGTTGGGTGGCATGGGTCCCCGAACATGGATAATGCCACAACGGTTGGGCATTTCATCTTCATTGGGGTACTCGCATGTGTTATAATAATCCAGGGAATGCACAATGCGCAAATAGAGGAGTAGTTTGTCCAAAACCTACGGGAAATGAAAAGCCATGAGTTCACCACACTCGCCCTATATCACCCCAAGCCAGGTTCTCATCCCACTCTGCTCTCACTGGCACCTTGATCAGCTTCTCATCTCGTTCCACGTTGATCTCCGCTGGGTTTCCTTCCTTAGGAGGCTCCTCAGGCGGGGGCCCGCCACTACTCCCCAGCAGCTCTTCCTCCTCAGCACTCACTTCCTCAATCAGGTAGTCAGTGATATTCTTCAAGATTGGGTTCTGAGAGGGCAGGCTCTAGTTGGGAGGGAGAAGAAAAGCAAGTGAAGCAGAGAAAGCCCCTTAGGGTAGGTAGCCTAGGAACCTAATTTGAAAGGCAAGGTGAGGCTGAAAGAATTCAAGGCTCACTTGGCCTGTTACCGCTGCCTCAGGATTTGTCTTCATGTTTGTATTTATTCTACACATTAGCCCACAAATAATCACTAACACCAATCTGTTCTCCTGGAAGACCAGAGATGCCCACAGAGGAGGGGGTATTGGCTGCTTTTGAAAAAGTTCTATGGAGAGTCACTGACTGTTGGCAGAGGAGGTGTCCCCGGCTCAGAGGCCCAGAGCTGGGTCCTGTCGTCCAACGTATGGATCAGCTTGGCTGCCAGCTTGATGTCATTGCGCACTATCTGCTTGTGCTGAGTAATGCCATTGATATTGCGGACGCGACGGGTCAGGTCTCTGTTCACACCAGGACTCAGCTCACACTCCCGGAGCTGGGAAGAACAGAAAGCTTACCAACACTTGCCCAAGAAGCAGCAACTCAAAAGACTGGCCCTATTGAGAGCACCAGTGATTAGACTGTGAGTTCCCTGGGGACAAGGATCAGGTGTGTTAACGAAAACAGTCCCAGAGCCTAGCCCAGAGACAACAGTACACAATTAATGTAAGCAGACTAAATAGATGAAATAGGGGGCAAAATGAAAGAATAGGAGGCAAAATGAAAGAAGCAATCAATGAACAAAGCATTCGGAGGTGTGCAGCATAGAGAGCCACACTTCTTCCTCACAACAGTCCTGCTCCCAGTACTCACTCGGATATTCTGCAGATTCCAACAGATCTCTTTGATGTTAACGCTGCGGTCAAATGTCACCCAGCCACGTCGGAAAAACCTAAACAAGGACAAAGATGTTAACATAATCCTGGGGTGAAGGTGATGTTGGCCATTAACCTTCCCCCCTGCACCTTTTCTCCAAGGTATCCAGGGTCACACTTCTCTCCATCCCTCACCTCCTCTCAGGCTGGGGCTCCGATAATGCCACACGCATAAAGCCTGGATATCTTTTACAAAGCTGGACAAGCAGAGGAACAGAAACCCCGTTAGTAATTTAAGGATTCACATCTTCCTTCAATCCCCCCTATCC